GTTACCTTTTCAGCAGAGTGTCTCAAATTATCCATGCATTTATTTGATATATGTTGGGTCTGGGAAGTCATGGTTTCACACATCCTCTTGTAGTAATGGAGAAAGAAAGAAAGACTTTGAGAATAGAGTTGGGAATGGAGAATTAAATTCATGAGTACCAAGAACATAAAATGTAGTCGACAACAGGTTTATGTGATTACCATACCAAAATTTGAATGATGCATAAACAATAACTATCATGATATTAATAAATTATTTAACACCACTCACTACATTTGTTTTCCATGGAGAACATTTGTATATAAGCAGACATTGTTAGACCTCTAGTTTTCACCCTGATAAAAAGCATTGAAATCAAAAGTCCCCATTCATTTGCCATTGAAATCAAAATTTCATTGATTTCAGTTGAACCCCCGAAACTGAAGGACCAACAAAGGGCCAGAGGAACTTTAGAAGCAGACTAGAGTTGTTATGTTGATCACTATGCTGGGGAAATGCAAACAATTCAGGAGAAATTTCTTCTATGTGGAAAGAAGTATAACTGCGATGATAACATTCTTGAGATTAATTTATGGACAAGGTCAGGCATCCATCTTAGCACTAAGGTGAAACGAAGCTATTGATCGATCATGAGACAAGCTGAATAGCTAACAAGGCAGGAAAACACCCTTGTCCTGGTAAATTTTCTTGTCAAATTGGCCCACAGTTGAAGATATTGTCTCTGTCACATGGGCTGTGGACATGTCTGTGGGACATTTTCTTGATTGTTGACTGATGTGGGAGGGACCAGCACGCATGTAAATTCAAAGGATAAAACAATCTGAATTAAAATAGAAGGTATTCAAGCATGTTTGCAAGTAATATCAATTAATCAAAGAATTTGGAGGCAGAGTGAAAATAAGCAAAGCACAACTTCATTCTTTGAAGTGACTCATAAAATATTTAAACTCATTAAGATTAGCCAGAAATAGAGTGAAAGGGCCAGTGAGGACCAGGAAAGGGTACTATGAGAAGAATGAAGGTGTGTGACTCCACGTATCCTGCAGGTATTACAAGAACAATAATGTAATATTATAAACATCTTCATGCTTTAAGTTTGATGACCAAGATAAAATGTCTTTGAAAGATAAACTTACCAAACCAACAGAGGAAGATACAGTACCGATATCACTTTTGTCTATATGTTATTTGTGTTTGCGATTCCAAACCTTTCCTTCAAGTTTCTCTGCCAGGAGCCGTCTCCGGTGGCTGACAGATCCCAGAGAGGAGGTAAGGAGTCAGCGAGGGAAGGCATGAGCCAGACGTGATGGTCGGGAGACTCTTGCAGCCTGACTGACGGACAGCCAGAGTGTTTCTCTATTTATACAGAATTCAGTAAACTGGGATAGATTCGTGTTGTTCCAGAAGACAGATCATGGTTTTTGGTTTTGGACATGCGTTGTACTTCCTTTTGCTCATCTTTTAGTTATCATTGATAAACCATGACAGAACAGAGTTATCATTTCCAACCATTTTTCCTCAAGTTTTTCCATCATTGATAAACAGTTATCATTTTTACTCATTAATCTTATAACTAAGAATCAAGAGGCATATGGCAGCCTGTTCTCAGATTAGTATCTTTTGTGGCTTCAAGGATGTTAGACCAAAGCAAAATCTTCAAGCCAGCCTGGGCATATTGCCATATCCCAAGCAGTGTATTATTAACTCTTAGTGGTCAGAGTGCCCAATAAAAATCCTCAGGCCAAAGCTGCTGCAGTTATGATTTAAATTCTGCATAATACAATGTTTACATTTTACATATTTATAGAATTTGTTTATATGTCTAATCCTGGCATTCTCTTGTTCCTTGATCATATGACATCACAGTGACTATGCATGCACTAACTTTTCTGAGAAAGGGAAGTACTGACATCTCATTCTTATATCATCTTTTTACATCATTCTTTGTTTATCAGTAAGTCTCTGTGTAGGGCAGAGGTAACTCCAGTCAATCTAACTTTGTTGCTATATATGCCACATCGTCATCACCTGAGTGTATAGTGGGAAGAAGCTTGCAATATGATCTATGGCCAACTCCTCTAGCCCACCAAATCTTGTTGACTTTTTAAAGTTTACTTTGTTTTGATTATCTTGTTCCTGAGTAAGTACAGGGACAGATGTTTCAAGAATGTCTCATAGCCTCATAAAGAGACCTCTGGCTTCTTTATGTGTCACAACCTCCAAGGCATAAGAAAGACATTCAAGTAGATAACATAACTCACTAAAAGCGGGAGGGGTAGTATGTTCAGGACTTTCCTGGGGAAGCTTAGAAGCAGTACTCCTGGGAGAAGGCATAAGTGATTTATAAGAAATTTTCCATCAATCCAATGTCCCCAAATTGTACAAATATTAAAAGTTCCCCAAGTATGCAACAGGTGGAGATGAAAACCAAAGGTGACATGGTGGCCATCATGTGACTCAGATTTGCCAGATCTTTGTCCAGCAGCTGTGCTGGCTTTATGCCTTTTGCCATTCCCATCAGATATGGCTGTGACACTTCTCCATCCCTTTACCCTAAGGTGGTATCTACTGAGAGTGGGGTGTGTATCTGAGAGGCAGAGAAAGAGATGGATCTTGTCTTCTAATTCAATCCTTTAGTCTGTATCTTCTTGTTGGGGGTTTGAGAACATTAACATTGAGTATTATTCTTAAGTAATGTGCATTGATTCCTGTTGTTTTCTTAGATTACTTTTGGTTAACTGTTCAATGAAATAGAATAGATGACTCAGAAATGTCAAAAGAAGAAACACAAATGGCCAATAAATACATGAAAACAACTTCCAATATCCTTAACATTACAAAATTGTTAACCAAAACCACATGGAAATTCCATATCATTCAAGTTACATTGGCAATGACCAAATAACAAATTCTGGTGAGGATGCACAGAGGATGGTGCTTTTGCAACACTCTTGTTGGAATTTAAGTGTTGCATCTGCCAAATAAACAAGTATAAGATTTCCTGAAGAGGTCTAGAAGTAAGCTGGGTGTGGTGGCTCATACCTGCAATCCTAGCACTCAGTAGGCTGAATGGAGAAGGAGGGTTACTGTGTATTCAAGGCCAGCCTGAGCTTTATTTGGAGGCCCAAATTACTCAGGGTCCAAGAATCTGAGCTTCCTTTACCCAGCAGGACTGCATAAGGAAATGATTTGACCACGGGTGTGGTTACGAGGTGTTTGGAAGGGTCTACACTTGGCTGTGCGGTGTGCTTTGATTTAGCAAGGGGGAGGTCTTTTGCCCCGCCCCTTGGTGTTATTATAAAAAGCCCTTTTGAATAAATGGAAGAGGTATTGGGTATTGATCCAGGTCCTCCCGAAGCTATCCTGTGTTTCTGTCTTTCTCCGCTTCTCTATCTTTCTATCTAATATTTTCTTATCCCTCTCTCCTTCTCATAGGAACCCTTTAAAAAGGTGGGAGCTGGCCTCCCACAGCTATAGAGTAAGACCCCCTTCTCCTAAAAACAAAACAAACTCCATAGAAACAGAACTACTAGATGACCCAGCTCTACCACCCTGAAGCTACAATCCTGAAGAGATCTGGTTAGCATATTACAAAGATGTCTGCACATGCATGATTGCCACAGCACTATCAGCAATGGAAAGATTGTGGAATCATCCTAGATGTCCATCAGAAGATGAGTGGGTTAAGAAAGTGTGCCATGTAAATACAATTGTGCTTTATTTCCCAACAGAAAGCAAGATATGCATGTCATTTGCAGGAGTAGAACTGAAGATCAATGTGTTAAGCAAAGCAAACCAGGCATATGCAAATATTACATGTATTCTCACAAATTCAGAATCTAAATTTGAAAACAGAGGTGCACAGGTAGGAAAAGAATGTGTAAAAGGAAGATGACCAGTGGGTATGTAAGGGAGAGTAATGGGGCTGTCACCATGGGTAAAGTATATGATATACCAAAACAAAAGGGTGTAATGAAATGTGGTGATGTATTGTGTCCCCCAATATACTGTGTCTCCCAATAAAATAAAACTTGCCTGGAGATCAGAGGAAAAAAAGCCAGCTATAGAAGTCAGAAAATGTCAGCACACGCCTTTAATCCTATCACTTGGCAGGCAAGGATTTGTCTGGATCTCTGTGAGTTCAAGGCCACACTGGGGAACAGAGCCAGGCATATTGGCACACGCCTTTAATCTCAGCACCAAGTCATAGAGGTCTGGAGGTCTGGACAGACAGACAGGAAGTGACAGAG